GCGACTTTGACGCTATTTCTAACAGCTTTTCAGACCCCCTTCTTGACTTTTTAATCCTAAAAGTACCTAGCGAACACCTCAGAAACATCTCTGGTAACCCTTAGCTACTTTCTGGATAACTATCGTCGACGTTTCCTGCAGGTTAGCTAAACACTCCGCCTGCACTCCGGACCGTTCTTCAGGACATTAGGAAAGGGAATGATGTAGTGATGTGTCAGTCGCTAAAGACAGCTCTCGGAGCCGCCCTGCTCCCTGTTGGAGTAACCAGAGTGAGTGACACACACACCGCACCTGCGGACTCCTGAGCCGCTAAAAACAGCTAAATGTGCGCGTGCGGCGCGCTAAACACACGTGCAGCTTGCCCCTGATTGCTGTGAGACCGGGTTGGGGGGTGGGGGGTGCAGCTGTGGTTGGGACAATTATTACACTAACTGATGGACTTGTAAATAAATAGTTTGTAAATAAGGTAGAAATAACTTCCTCACGCTGATAAATAATAACTAATCTCTCTGAGGACACGGTGCTAGTGCACTCTCCTACAGCACCTTGACACGACTCAATAAATGTTATGCAACATTTTGTGAACATCAATTTATTTGCATTTATTTGTTATAAATGCCACTGTATAATTCTTGCTGTCAGTATTTGCAAGATATTGGTATTTGGTTCTGTACTGGTTAGACTTAAATGAGTTAAACCAAGGTCTACAGCCCTTGGGTCATAGACTATGAGCTATAAGTATATTGGTCTTTTATACAGGGAATCAGGAGTTCTTTTAGTGATCATCTTGTTTCTTATTTTTGTCCTGATTGTGCCCTGAGCAATTTTATGACTGAATAAAAACAAATAAAATCAACATAAATTGAAAAATCGTCCTAAATAATCGTGATCTCAATTTCAGTCACCATAATCGTGATTATTATTTTTGCCATAATCGAGCAGCCCTATATCAAAGACACATCATCGGAGGACCCGCTGTGTTCAAAGAAAAGAGGAGAAACTGGGACTGTGTGGAAGAGAGGGTGCTTTATTAATAAAAACACCTTGCACAGATTTTTATAGCATTTGCATAAGAATAGCTCTGACTGATCTGTGTTTGATTTTGTTTATGCAGCGTAAATAATGATGGATCGAGGTGAGCTTCTGCATGCATTACCTTTATCATTGTTCCAGCAGTATAGATTGTTGTATTCAGACATTAGTGGAGATATGAGAGGATTCATTTATCATGACAAATGAAGTAAATCAACATTACTGTGAGGAATGCGGGGTAATTCAGAAATGAATAGAAGATAAACTTAAATAATTATTTGTTTTCTCATTTGTTGAAAATATGCACTGACTTCCTGTTTGGACATCCAGGCTTCCGTAGCAGCTCTTCCCTGCTTTTAGAGCAGTGCTGTCTGTCCATGCGACTGATCGAAGTACAAACGTGAAACTACCGTACACCTTTTCCGCAGTAGACGTGGCATTGTTTATTGCTAGGCTTCCCTCACCTGACTCTGCAGTCATGCCAAAGTGAAACGGGGAAGAGGAAGTGTTTTGCTCCACTACAAAACAGCATGATGGAGGAAAGCAAGTTTACTAGGGCTTACTAAATGGCCTGACACAGACACAATATAATGGAAAAATAAATAAATAAACATCTTTCTTTAGGCTATGACCCACATATTTGTAGAAAGTTGGACTTTTCATCTGGATTTACCCAATCTGGAGGATTAGCCCAGTGCTGAAGCGATCGACATAACAAACTACTCTGTGCTACATGCCTCATATTACACTGTAAACCAAATTAAAGCCTTTTACAAGTATGGAAGCCTACAGCTATTGCATTTCTGGTTGGTTAACCATTTAGTTACCCAGAGAAGCTTTAAACGGCCGTTGTCTTGTTTTTGCTCAGGTAAGTGGTGAGTTGTGCTATTTTAATTTATTAGCTCATGATAATAATGCTATCACTAATGCTAACAAGAATAATGTTTATGTGGTAGGATCCAATTGTTAATAACTTTTTATGGCTTTTTAAATCCAAATTTCTGGTACAGCTGTTTGACTTTCATAAGGTATAAATACCACGTTACAAGAATTAGCTAACTGTTAAAAACAGTGGCACTCTGAATAGCTATTTACAGGTTAGGACACATGAAAAAAGTATCAAACTGTTTGCCTTCCATTTTTAGGGCTGTTTCTAAGTAACTGTTCCATAAAATACCGTAAAAATATTGAGTTAGAAAGTAATCACTGCAAACTTTAGCATTGCTCATTTCAGTTCCTTCTGTTAATAAATGGTAAATGGCCTGTATTTGATATAACGCCCTCTAGAGTCCTGGAACCCCCCAAGGCACTTTCCAACACAATCAGTCATTTATCCAGTCACACACACAAAATCACACCCAGGTGGTGTGATTGGTTTATATTCCTGTAGTCAGCATGGCAATTGCACGCTCCCTCAAAGGTTGCAACATCTGTGACATTGTGCTGTTTGATTAAACTGCACATTTCATGGTGGCCTTTTATTGTGGGCAGTCAGGCACACCTGTACATTATTCATGCTGTCTAATCAGCCTCTTAATATGCCACACCTGTGAGGTGGGATGGATTATCTTGGTAAAGGAAAAGTGCCCACTAACACACTTGTAGACAGATTTCAGAACAATATTTGAGAGTCATGGGTGTTTTGTGCATGTAGAAAAAGTTTCATATGTTTGACTTCAGCTCATGAAAAATGGGGGCCAAAACAAAAAGGTTTACACACACACACACACACACACACACACACACACACACACACACACACACACACACACACACACACACACACACACACATATATATATATATATATATATATATATATATATATATATATATGTACAGTATATATATATATATATATATATATATATATATATATATATATATATATACAGTATATATATATACAGTATATATATATATATATTTATATATATATATATATATATATATATATATATATATATATATATATATATATAGAGAGAGAGAGAGAGAGAGAGAGAGAGAGAGAGAGAGAGAGAGAGAGAGAGAGAGAGAGAGTCTATAACTTTAAAACTCTAAAACTTTAAATTGTTGGTGAATTTTGAAATCAAAGGTAAAGACAACCAAATGTAAGACCCACTTGGGTTAAGGCAGCTTCACAATATTCTGGGTCCAGACTAGCCATTAGCTTATTAATCCTGTATGAAAAATTCTGTTTAAGACTCTGGTAGGGGGTGACTTGTTCTTTAAGCAGGACACAAGTGACCCACTAGTCTTATCTGAATTGCGGCCAGCTGCTGCTGCAATTGATGGTGATGATGTTACCCCTCTTCTCTCCTCTTCTCTCCTGTGAATCCACAGCTAGAAGTTAAAACTAAAATGGAAAAGCTTAAAGAGCGGGTCAATTGAGCCTCGGAGTCCTTCTCCACCCACGTATCAATTTTAAAAAATGCAACATTAGTAGGCGTTGCCTGGAGGACCGAGAGGGCGGAGCCGCGGCAGTGACGAAGACGATGGCTAACTAGACGAAGCTAGCTCCCTTCACTCTTGAGCAGTTATTAGAAGTGGAGGACGTTTCTCCCCCCCTCCTTACACAGACACTCGAGAAGAAAGGGACCAAGTCTATTTGGAGGAGACAAGCGGACCTGAGTCTTATTGTTTTGAGCTTGTGAGTTGCCTGAAACTCCCAGAACCGACCCAACAGAATCACCTCTGAAAGGTAAGTAGCCGTTAGCCATAGCATTGGATTAGCTGCAGGGTTTGTATCCACGGCCCTAAAAAGCTAGTATTCAGCATGTTTTAGAGGTTTATCTGCTTCAGCACACCTGGTTTTAATCAGCAACAAATAGCTGAGCTGCTTAACAGCTAATCTAACCTGTTAAAGCAGGAAAATCCACTGAAACATGCTGGATAGCAGCTCTCCGGTAGCTCTGGGCTCAAGTTACAGTCTGCTGCATAAAGTTATGAAAATACCCCATGAGAAAATTATTCTGTAATGTGTTCAGCCCACAAAAACTGCCCTGATTTCTTTATTTATTTACTAATAACAGCTGCTCTCTCGGTTCTAGGTCCTCTGGTGTCTGCAGCTGGTCTCTGGTGTCTGCAGCTGGTCTCTGCTGGTGTCTTCAGGATCAGGAGCTTCCAGAAGAATGTGCCTTTCAATGACTCTTTCCCCCTTATTTGTTATATTAATTAAATAAATCTCAATTTATATATTTCCTGTTTTTGTTCATGTCCATAAATACTTAAACATGCTTGAAATTAAAACGAGCTTTTAACAGTGAGGTGCTAGTTTAATTAATCACAATAGTCAGTTAAACATGCAACAAAAATGTGATAATCAATGTAATTTATAAATATCCATTAAAATATCAAAACTGGAATCTAAATGAGATATTTGGCAGCACAAAAAACTTGTCAAACACAATATTTATTATAATAATTGTAGGCAGACAGGAGACAGAGCTGATGGAGGTTCTCAGTCATCGAAGGATGGCTGAAGGCTTTCCAGGAACAGGAGATGTGGTGTTGTCTCTTCTCTCTCTATTCAGCAGGATGAGCTGATAGGTTACAGGTGTGTGAGGACATCCTCATGCTGTCATAACCAGATGACATGAGTTATCGGGTGATCAGCCAGGCTAATGAGATGCAGAAAGAAAACAAATTCAGGACAGTGTACAATAATATGTGGTGTTGCTCACCTTATGTGCTCTTATAGAGTATTAATGTGTGCATGCCTCATGGTGTAGAGTCCATATTTTGCTGAGTGTCCTGCAATAATGCAGGTTATTAGTTAATTTACTTTTGATAACAAAAACAAAATATTTAATGTAAAAGTTATTTTCCAGGTGAATCAGCTCACACGTCACCACCAAGTGTCACAGGGCCAGAATCAGTAGCCTCCGTCATGATGTAATACATACTTATTTAATTGTTAATATCTTAAAAATTCTGAAATTTTTAAAAAAATTTTTAACCTTGAACAGTTCACTGAGCTTGCACTGTCACTGAGGTGGAAGCTGGAATCAACAGCAGACACCTTACATCTTGGTCTTTTCAGGAGGTCTGGACGCTCTGGGACTTTCTGGAAGATGAATTTTCATCATGGTCCCTGTGGGTCACCAGACACACTGCGGCTGTGAACTCCATTCTGGCTGGCTATGTAAAAACAAAGAAGCAGCACATTTATAAATGTTTAAAAGAGCATAAAATCACGTGTAACAATCTGTAAAACAAATTAAAACTAGAAGGTGATAATAAAATGTTTACATAGAAGATTATTAAAAATAATTCACCTTTGCTACAGGGAAGGTTTCACATCAGCCTGGACAAGTGCATTCTTGCAGCTAAATCAGTCTGACAACCAGTGTCTTGGGTAGATTTAGCCTGAAAAAAAAAATAGAAGCACATTGTTGTTGGGAGTTTATAAAGTCAGATAACATACAAAAGAATCTCCTATATAGGCGCTTTATAACATTCCTAGTGTGTGATCGTTGTTATAACGTAAAAGTCAGTCACACATGATGTGGAGAGCCTGAAATGCGACCTCCTGAACAGAATTCCTCACAGAACCGGGTCACAAGCTGGATTTCACGCTGTAATGCTGTCTGTCAACTAGTGCTGCGTCAGTTAGAGCCACTGTTGCAGAATTGCCGACTGACTAGCTAAAGGAAGTGAACCACGTCTCTCAGACTTTGCATTTAGGTAGGGAATTGTCTTTAGAAGATGTTAAAACGTTTATTTAGCTGACTCACCTCAGACTGGAGCCCGCCGTGGTGGGGGAGCAGAGTCGGTGGGCTGCATCTAAATCGCGGAAGAGCCACGGTGGGCAGCCTCCCTCTTCAAACGGAGACGTGCAGAATCGCGGGTAAAATGCCCACAGAGTCACCGCAAGCATACTACATTACACCATCTCACCAATACTAAGACGATATGAACACTAAACCCGAAATACTTTCCCAATTACACTAACAGCCAAACACTAACTAAACTACAATATCCAACAGCCAAGCTAACACTAAATAAGTATTTATAACACTAAAAGATATGCTAAGACTAGGATATGCTAATGCTATATGCTAATGCTGAACTACCGCTGACCTCCTACGCTCGCTTGCAAATCCAACTCCCACTCGCCACAGGGCGTGGCCGAGACTCTCGTTGCTTTTATAACTTTGGCACGGAGCTGCTACGTAGTACTCTACTGGTTTACGTAGTACTTTACTCTTTAGCCATTGGCTAAAATTTATTCAAAATGACTCAAATGCTATGTTTTCAGCTGAAGGTGGCGCATTACTGTGGTTTTTAGACAGAATTTTTAATTTTTAAAGAAAATGCACCAAAATGCTAAAATAAAGAATGCACACATTTAAAACACTATTAGACACTCATTTATACAGTTCATCAGCAAAAAAAAGTTAATTTAGACGTTACTTGCTCTTTAATATTTCACTCATAGGCACACACACACACACACACACACACTGAGCCAAGATAAATTGACAGACTGGCTCATTGACTTGCACACATCAAACACAAATACAGAGACACACAGCACAAAATATACAATGCACAGAACCCCCCCCCCCCAGCCTGATTTAAATCACCGCTGCACCCACATACGTCTCAGCTTTGCTCCTTTAATAGACCTCTGCCTCTTAATGGCTTTCTGCATCTTAAGCCCATCAGTCCTCCTCCCTCTGACTCCTCTACCTTCTGTTTCAGAGTGACGCAACACCCAACCTCTCTGTTTGCCCTCTTTATCCCTCCCCCTTCAATCACACTGCCTTGTTTTACCAAAGCTTCCTTTTTGGCCCTTTGATTTCTCCCCTTCTCCTCCTGGTATTTTTATTTAGCCTCTCTTCTGCTGAGAGCTGGAGCAGCATCAGTGCACGTGGAGAGGGATTAGATTAAAGAAAGGAAAGAGGGAGCGAGAAGAAAGAGAGGAGCGAGACGAGTAGAGAGTGAGTCAGAGAAAGAGAAGAGACCAAGGACAGCAAACAAAAAGAGACAGATTGACTCAGAGGCTGTAAATGAGCTGGCCTGAACAAGGACAGATGCTGCACGACTCGCAGAGCAGAACAGATCTGATCAAACATCTGCATCGATCCTTTTCAATGAATAATTCTCAGCTTTTGCTAATGATGCTCAGTAAATATCAGAGATGTGGGCAGGGTTTCAGAGAAAGAGGAGAAAAATAAACATTTTACTCTTTTTCAGAGATCCTTCCTCAAAGCATTGATATTAACTGAGGATATGTTTGCAACGTTTTTAAACGCCAGCTTTTGTTCCAAGAATTAAAGGATATATTTTAAATTACTGAACTACAAGATCAGGGATTCAAGCGTTGGAGATTCTTACATTCTTGTAAATACCACATCTTTTTATTTTGAGAAAAGAATTTTTCTAAATCATTTTCATTGTTTAGAGGATGAATAATCCTTCAGCAAGTTAATAGAAGAGTTTAGAAAATTCCTTGAAATTTAACCATTTTAAAATAGTCATGAATAAACACAACTTACTTTCTTTAAAAGGACCTAAAGACCAAGTTCACCCATTTAACACATCAGCAGTGGTACCTAGGATAAATTAATGCCTGGTGAGTCAATCTCTCACCAGGCGCTCCTGTTTCAGGAACTAGAAGTGAGCCAGAGCCGAGCTGAGCTTCAGACGATAGGACTTCAGTATCATTTACCGATATTTGATCATCTCTTCTCTGATTGGGTAACAGCAACACACAACTCTACTGACTCGCTTTGCTCTAAAACATTGATGTTTTATCTCTACAAATAACACAAGCCTGGAAGAGTTCTGCTGTGGGGTGCAGTTGCTAATGCTAACAGTTAGCTTCTACTAGCCAAGACGTTCTCTGCTGTTTCCTGGACACTAAACCAACAACAGCCTTCCCCGTCACGAGTCAAGATGGATGAATGCTAATTTTCAATGTGACATAGAATTGACTGGCTTTTCTAATACAAGCGTTTTCCTGGTTTTTTGCTATCAGCGGCTCACTCAGGAAATAGAAGGTTATTTTCACATGTAGCCTGCAGTTGATTGGATTTAAAAAATAACAAGTAAAACAGGAAAATTTTCTTCTAGCACTCATTGCACACAATGTTCCATATTTTACAGTGAATTTGAGTTTTAATCTCTTTAAAAGGCGAGTGTGCATTTCAGGTCTCAACACACCAACTTTAATATTTGATATTCTTTGAAATTTTTATAAAATTTGAAAAAAAAAATAAATAGAAAAACATTTCAAGAAAAGTAAAAAATTAAATCAAACACAAAACAAGTAAATTATACACTGCAGAGGTTTATTATTTTAAATGCCCTCTAACTTTATATTCTGATCATTATTAGAAATCAGTGTTCTCTAAAACATGAGTGCGCCCCAGGGCAGCTGTGGCTATGTTGTAGCTCATCCCCACCAGTGTGTGAACATCTGTGTGAGTGGGTGAATGACTGACTGCGTTGTGAAGTGCCTTGGGGGGAGGGGGGAGGGGGGGGGGGGGTTGTAGAACCCTAAGAAGGCGCTATAAAAATACCATTTACTCTGTTGGGTGCAGACTCCATTTAGCAGAAGTAAATAAGGCGCTTGTACATTTGCATAAGCAAAGTGTGTTTGTCTGCTCCTATATCTCCTAGCATTAGAAACATGAAACATATCATGCTACGGTACATTTATCGTCCACCAGTCACGAGTCAACTAAGGAACTCATCTGATGAAATACAATTAAAATTTGTAATCAATTGACGGGTTGAAACAAACGTTTAATAAAACAGAAGTGTGGCATTTAAACAATCACAGCAAACCAGCCAGAACCAGAAACAAACCTCAACGGCCAACGTTATAGAACAAGAAGTTAAAGGACAAACAAGCATCTCGCAGATGGCCTTGTTGCTGGATGCTTACATGCCCTAATGTTGTTTGTCTGGCTCAGAGAGCGACTCATTTCCATTGGAATTAGCTTGTAGCTCCTTGTCTGCCCACAGTTGCAAAGAGACATTTTGTTTATGAGTTATTGATCTGAGAAGTTGGACTCGGGCGCAGTGCGCTTCATGCTTCAGGGGGAAAAGACTGGCTTGGTCCTCCAGCTCTCTTTATGAACACTGAGCTCAGATCAAATCAAGTGTTATGTCTTCATGGGTCAGGGAGAGGAATCCTCGAGTTATTGTGTGGAAATGTGATTTCATTGTAAGCTAATGTCAATAAAACCATTATATATATATATATATATATATATATATATAAACATTGTATTAGCTAAATATTTAAACAGCAACAAAAAAAATTATAAATAAATCTGCAGGTATCTCCTGCGGTACCTAGGTCTTCCACAAGGAGACAGAAGGCTTGAATTTAATAGAGCAGACGTCTGAGGAACACACTGATGCTGTTAAAGAGTTAGCTAATATATTTCAAGTGGCAGTAAAGGGTTAAAACCTTTATTGTTAACCATTATGAGACGTTTTTCTGCAGCTAACACACCGAATCTTAACAATCAAGATAGCTGGCGGGTATTGAGGCAGATAAATAACATGCTTAATTGTTTATTTTCATGGTAATATGTCGAAATGAAGCTTGTTTTTCCAAGATACAATCTCAACATAATGGAGCTTGTTTCTTAGAGATAAGAGAGATATCTGGTTTTCTTCAGATATCAAGATCATTATCCTGATATTACAAGATAAATAACCTGTTATCTCAGGATAACCAATCTTGTTCTCGCAAGATAGCTCCAAATTCATCTCAAGATGATGGAGTTGTTATTCTTGAGATAATGAGTAAATTTATTTTGTTTGAGTTTAGGAAGATCCTTTTGTTCAGCATATTTATAGACAAGTGGGATTACTTTTGGCTCTAGCTGGACTCCATATTTGGCCACTTAAAAAAGGGAGATTTGTTTTTGTTTACCATCAATCAATAAACAATTGTTTAACATATTTGAAACAAAACTTATCAACTGTCAGTAGAATTTGAACATGTTAAACGTCTTCATAAAGGGACATTTCAACTTAAAACAATGGTTGTAGAAGCTTGGTTGTTCTGCTTTCTGATTGGCAGGAAAAGATCAAATATTTAACCAACAGAATAATCACCCAACAACTATCAACCAATCATTAACCAACCATTTATTTGGACAACTAATTTGTCAACTATTCTGCTTTAGTAGAGAATCAGTTATTTAACAAACCAATTAATCAATCAAGTGGGTAATCGGACAGCCTATCATTTCATTAGCCAATGAATTAAACAGCCAATTATTCAACTAAAAATTAAGACAACCAATTATTAAACCAAACGCTCCTTCAAACAACTAATAATTCAACCAGCCTTTTAATCAGACAAACAAGTAACCAACCAAACCATTATTTGAACAAACAATTATTTGACCAATTAATTGTTTAAAGGTGCATTATGTACAAATTAAGTAGAAACATTTGGTTACTGCAACCACTGCCAGTCCCCACAGCTGGATATGAAACATCTTTCAGTATAACCTTCCTTCCAAAATGACTGAAACATTAGACTCTTTTGGGATTTTCTCAGGGTACATCTCTCGCTATATTCTTACATACTGCACCTTTAAACAACTATTTGACCAAACTATTAATTGCCCAGCCTATTAATTGACTAGCAGTTAGTCAGGCAACCAATTTTTCAACCAATCATAAATGCAGATAATCAGTAAGCCAGCTCAACAATAAATCACACAACTGCTAACACGATCAACCAAAGAGCGGGGCTCCCAATGAAAAGACTTAATTATTGTTTGGTTCTCCAATAGTCATTTGTTGTCTGATAAACCGCTCACCTTTCTTTTAATCAGATTAATTCACAACTATTCATAAAGTCAGATAGTAACACATGTTAGCTATTTTACTTTTCTTTTTTAGCAAATGCTGCACATTTTACATTTCCTGTCAACAGAGTCGATGTTTACTCAGCTTCAAACGTCTTATTCTAGCAGCATTCAAAAGGTACAAGTCTTGTTTAATATTAATGACACATCCAGAAGATAAAAAGCATATCTCCAAACACTCAAGTTCCATGTAATAACAGGAGCTCAGTGGGCCTCCGTGATGTGTGACAGAGCGATCTCACCCTGTTGAGCAGATTTGAAATTAATTAACTGTGCGTAAATAAAACAGGCTAAATGAGAGGGAAAGGAGCTGTGCTGCACAGAGCCAGAGCTGTTTGGCTCCGGTGGAAGAAATGTCTGAGGGCATCAGGTCCTGACCAATACAACAACACACCTGCTCTCTGCCTCCCACATCTCCCTCATCTCTTCAAACAACTGCCAAACCTATAATAACACTCCTCCACATAACAGTACCTCTTTCCTCCGTGCTAGTGCTCCTCCAGACTATCGGACTTCACCTAACACGCCTAAACACCTTTGTCTGCTCCTTTTCCACAGCACTTAA